GAACATCTGGGGGCAATTGCACAGCAACAACACAGCATCGATATAGCCTTTCGGCACGTCTCGTGTGGCAGGAGAAGTAATACCACCCAGCCAAAATTGAAAGCCCCGACCCAGCAACTGGGCATAGAAATTCATGGAAACCGTAGGCCGCTTGAGGGCCTGCCTCATCTTCTCTGGATGCGAACGCCAAGTGCTCTTTGAGATCCAGGGCAACCTCGCCACCGCCTTTGTCCTGTCAAGCTCCATGCACCCACTTCAGACACTGCTTGTTGTCGCAGCAGCTCACCACATCCTCTTTTGAAGCAATGGACTGGTTAGATGCCAGCACACCACCTCCTATCAAGGCTTTTCTCGCAAACCTTATGCATGAAATACCCTCCGCGCCGTGCTTAATTGCGGTGCTTCGCTTGTCAGGCCCAGTCCAGGTCAACGTGACGTCGGCCCCCTGCAATCTCGAGCCTCCGCGATTTCGTCTATTCACCGATGGAACGACTGATCCCCGATGCTCAAGACGAACATCATAAAACGCACACAGCCGTCTTCCCGTCTTCCAGATTGGGGGGAGCAACAGCGTTTCGCGCCAAGCAACATTTTGGTGATGGATGCCGGGGCATCATCGTTGAGGGCCATGTCGAGACAGGTTCGCCTGCGAAACACGGTTGCAAGTACTTCCAAAAAACAACTGGCTGACTATAAACTCCAGATCCTGCCTCACGCCCTTGGCACTTTTCTTGATGTGGTTCGGATCGGCACGGGCCTCCAGCAGGGGCCGCACCATGCGCCTTGGCCGCTGATGCAGGATAACGATCTCCTGCTGCATGCTGTCACCGGGATCAACTAAAGATCTCCTTGTGCCAGGCGGCGGATTCTGATTGGAGACCTCAGAGTACGGGAAGTGAGGAAGCAACTTCCACGCAGCTGACAGGTTTGCCCTCTTTGCTGCCGAGTCGCAGCCTGCCAAAGGGCGCTTGACTTGCTGGAGGTGACTGCATTCACATCCGCCTGCGGGCTCATGTGTCGCACGGCTGCTTTCGAACGGAACTGCTGGGTCAAACCGTTGTCGATACAGGCCAAAACTTTGCATGCCCAAGGTATGGCAGGACTTCCATCTTGAAACGCCGGCTCTGCATGTTAAGGCTTCCACGGCTCCGCTACCCTCGATCCTACATGGCATGGGCCATAGAAGATCGAGCTGTCCGCCTTGGCATTGATGAGCCACTGCACACTGTCAAGCTCGTTCCTCGGTTGAGCTTGCTTTGGCCTTCCAGCTGCAAGCTCTTGACTACCAAAGACCAAAATTCCCTGAATTCCATCTTCGACATTCTGGCAGGTTGGCAAGTGGCGCATAGGCTGCAGCTACAATGGCAGGCCAGCCGTTGGGAACACCAATGGGGTCCTTGTTGCGGAGGGCCTGCAACATGTCGAGCAGTCGCTCTCATGGTCCAAGCAGCGCTTCAACCGTCTCCCAAGACAACAGAAATATTCGTTCGCGCGAGGAGCTGATCTATGCCAGAACAGGAAAATCACGCCCCACAAGTTCCTGCCTAATGTTCAGCAACCTGTGCTAACCTTTCGGCTCCTACCCTGAACATTTCCACAACTTTCCTGCGAGGTGCAACGTGCACTGTGCCACCTTTACCTTTCATGATCTAGCTGTTGTCGTTGTGGTGTCTCATGCTATTAGCATTACCAGTGACAGACTACCAGCCGTTGCCCGTCGTCGAAGTAGGAGCGGCACTAGTCATAGCTTTGTCCCCTAACTTGCGGAGTAGCAGTAGCAGTTGCAGTAGTAGTCGTCGTCGTCGTCGTAGTAGTAGTAGTAGTAGTAGTAGTCGTAGTAGTAGTAGTCGTCGTAGTAGTAGTAGTCGTCGTAGTAGTAGTAGTAGTCGCTGTCGTCGTAGGAGCAGCAGCAGCAGCAGCAGAAGCAGCAGCAGCAGCAGCACAAATAATGACAATAATCACACGAAGGACAACAATAAACGCTACAATGAGAATAAGAATTTTGAATGACAGTAACAAGACATGTAACAATAACAATTACGGTGGTAGCAACAGCAACAGCAGCAGCAGGAGTAATCGTAGGAGGAGGAGGAGGAGGAGGAGGAGGGGGAGGGGGAGGGGGAGGAGCAAGCAGGTTTATGCTAAGATTTGCTCGAGGTTGTGAGCTCTGGAGATGTGCCTTGCGTTGATCGTTACATGATATGATGAACCACCTGATGCACGAGAATGTCATGTGGACCTGCAGGAAGACAACGGCCGGCTTTATTTGCATGCTCCGTTTCGGGTCGCCTCCAGCACCATGCGTTCCGCTTCCAGCTGCTTCTTGGGCGGATCCGGTGGCGTCGGTAGCAGAGGCATCCTTCCAGAATCACGACGGCTTGGTGACCTGGAACGCGCATTGAAGCGCTGCAGATCCTAGATTGAAGTGGAGCTGCAAAAACGTTCTGGTGACTATGTTCTGAGCCGATGTTGGCTGGGGACATGGATCGATGCTTTTGCAAGTGGGGCACCGTGCCCTGATAGCAGGCGGCCGGGCAGGTGATGCAGGTCTCAAACTGCCCGCTGCCTGCACACGTCCGTGCTGCTTCGGAAACACGCACAATCTGGCTTGACATTGGCTGATTGATGTTTTTTTCCAAACGCATGCTGAAGTCTCCCACGGTGTTCGCCTGCCCGTCTTCCTCCATGTCCTCCTCATCCTCCTCCTCGAAGGGTGGAGTGGCACTGTCCTCCTCACCGCTGCGGCTAGGGCGTGCTTGCTCGTCCTGGCAAAAACAAGAACAGTGCACTTGTGACTGCGTCAGCACTGCTCATATTACTCAAGCTCAGCTGCTCAGCAAGCACGCAACCTAAGGTGCAACATTCGCACATGACTTTGGCCTTCACATTGCGAGGTGTGACCCGACCGTCCAGCGGAGGAGTGTCCTTCAAAAGTACACCAAATGTCTTGCAAAGCTGCTGCCGTTACACGACAAAGTGCAACATGGGACAGAGAACCTGACTCTGTGGTTTCCCTGCCCTACAACGCCTGACAGCTGCTGCCGTTCACATCAGCAACATTGTCTCGTCCATGGCACATGTCCTCTCCACTGAGATTGTCTTCAGTCTTGCTCGCGTTGACCGCGGATGCAGGCGGAGGAGGCGGCGGCGGAGGCGGAGGCGGCGCGACATCTTTCTCCTGATCGCCAGGAACTTGTGCGCAATCGCTTCATACATCAAGTGTGCTTAGGCATGGCGTGATGTTTCTCCGCACGTTTGTCTACAGATTACAGAGCACAGAATGTGGTCAGTGCTGCTGTTTGCGTGCATGCGTACTTGGTTCTGCTGTTTGATCATCTTTAGTTCTCGCCGCTTTTTGTGGCAAAGTGGGGGAGGATTCCTTTCGTTTGGCTTGTGGCCACACAATACATTCAAGAAGGGTGTGCGTATGCACACACTCGACTGACGCCTTGTGTATGTTATTTACCTACGAATATGCATGTCTGCATTCTGCATGTGCTCCTGTTCATCCATCGCGGCAGCTTTTCATGATTTTCACTACTGAATATGATTCAGTTCCTGTAGCAGTCAGAAGCAGCCCTGGCCTGCCATGCCCACGTCCGTCGGTCCGACCGGTCCTGGTCTGCATGAACTTTGCAGAGTACCAACACCCAGTTTCTAGCTCAAGCGATTCAACTAGTCCTGGTTCCGATGTTGATTCGGACTCCGATCTCTCCACCACCAAGGGCGCCCACTCCCACCATCCTGAGTGGTCAAGAACTCGGCACGAGAAATGAAATCCCTGGAGCCGTGATGTCCCATCATTCTGGCTCAGCAAAGAAACTCGCGGAGGAGGCCCCCGACTTCTTTCACGCTCCTTGGGTTTTGTTTCACAACTCTGCCGACCAGACGAAGAACCTCCCTTGGCATGAACCAGGCCGCGCCAGGGCCCCAGGTGGAGTTGCCTCTCTGTCGGTCCTCTGAGGTCCCCAAAACTGGATATGGAAACTGCCAAAGGGCACATTGCCGCCAAGCTCCTGCGATTCCTGGTGGCGATGCGCATCGCGCTGGCGCAGGAACCATGGCACCTCCGATGAGGTCTGCGCTGCCGGTGCCTGAGCGGCAGGGCCGACGATGTACTCTTATTCTCTCAGCTGGTGAGCCAACCGAACAAACATCTCTGAGTCGACTTGCGCAGCCGGAACCTTACGAGAGTGTCACTCAACACAGTTCATGAAAGGACCACCAAGTCACACGGCGGCGGCTCTCGTTATCGGAACCTTGCTCCTCCTCTGAAGTGCAGTGCGTCAACAAGAAACAAGCAGTTGGCAGCTGAGAATGGCGTCCTTGCAGTGAGACCAAGCTGCCTCGCGCCCTGCATTGCGAGGCCAGACTGTGGAACGCGTGGAAATGGGGATGCAATGGGATGCACTGCCTCGCTTCTGGCGCCATACTGGGGTTGGCGATTCCGAACTTTCATCGCGTCGGCCTCGCCAAGTGCAGACCAACAGTGCAGCGGCCCACGTACATGCCTGCAGCAAAATGTGCAGCCTCGCCAGCTCATGGCCCATGGGTGCTAGTTTGGAGCTAGTGCCGAGATTGGACATCCGGCAACTACCATCACTCCAGCAACGCTCAAGATGTTTGGTTGGGCTGGCTCTGCTACAGGTGACCGTTTGCCAAAGCGGCATGTGACTTGTAAAGCGTCTGCAAGGCGGGCCACAGGCGGCTTAAAGCTTCACCTTGAATTGAAGTCCCAGTTGAGGCGTTAAAAGAAACTCATTTCCAGCTAGCTGATGCTGAGCTACTGTCTAGGCCGTCTGTTGACTTTTTGACCATGAGGGCTATCTTTCCGAGCAGCTGGTGCGAGAAAAAGTCCACAACAGTCGAGCTAGAGGACGAAACACCATGAAGCTCTCAATACAAAGCGAACAGCTAGCAGTGTTGTAAAGGCCTCCAAGGCAAACCTCACACAACAGGTCCTCGAGCTCAGTCCGAGCTCCATGGAATGAGGCTCAGGCTGCACATCCCGTTCGACCAGAGCCGAAATCAGTCCTAGGAAGTCTTCAGCCCATCGAGCATGCCATCTGTTCAGGCTAGCTGGGGCGAGCTGGAGGCAGAGACTGCTGAAAGTAAGACTGAGAGCTTGTCGGCAGCCGCCTGCACAGACAGGCACGCGGAATGCACAGTATCATGTACACATCCCCACCCCACCCTACATTGCTCGGCACATGCTCTGCAACACCTCTGTACAACCCACATGCTGCAGCCTACCCTCAGTGACAGAGCTGCATCCTGGCCTTCTGAAAAATCACCTCAGAAGGCCAAGAAACTGAAAAGTGATTTCCTGTTGAACTCAACGATATACCGAACGAACCATCTGCGGTGATCGTGGATGCAAAAAGAAAGCTTTGACTTCATTGCGCACAAGCGGCAGAAATGCCGGTCCGAAAAAGAGAGCCGGTTGTTCAGCACTTCCTTCTCTTCCTGAGAGCAACACTCCACACGATAACTATCTAGAACGCTTATGCCCGCGAAGTTCCTGCAACTCAGTCGGCGAATGTAAATATGCCAAGATGCGTGAAAAGGAAGAAAACCGCAAATGAGATGGTAAAATATAATGCCGCAACCTTGGTGCGACAGCCCGAAACTGCATGCATGCAGACTTGCAGCGTATTGGTTTCGGCGTACCACTGAGGCGCAAGCTCCAGCAGTCGCAAGCGTGAGTGTACTTGTCTGGGCCTGGGCGGCTACTCCGAACGATCTCAAACAGTCCCACCAACACAGGCGGCAGATAGCTCATATGGCCCCGGCTTTTCAAAACCTCCGGTCCAATGTGCGAGACGGATCCCATTCTACCGCTCAAAAAGCCGCCTGGGCACATGGAAACTGTCTGGCATGCTGGCAAAATGGTAGAACATGCGGCAAAGTGTGGTAAAACTCCAGTCCAGAGGCCTGGTTCGAACTTGCAGGACCTGGGCCAGGCCGTTTGCCAGTAGCATGACATATTCGCATGGACCCCGTCGGAAATCCAACTCAAGGGCCTGTTAGAGAGCACCAGATCGAGTAGAAAAGTTGCTTTCAAGGCACAAGCCAAAGTCACAGATCTTGAGGCGATTCCTTGAAATCACCGACTGCGGGTGAACATGCCCGAAGTTTTTTTCCATCGTGTAGACCACAGATCTCTACTCAAGGTGCAGGCCGGTAACCTTTCAGGAGGGCCCTGGTTCAGCATCAGGCAGTTCTCGCCCTTCAGGTCACCTCATGAACCCAAGACATGCTGCGAGGCCTGAAGGATCTCAGCCAGACCCAGGCAGCACATGCACATGATGTGGAGCAACGCCATCAAAGACTCTGAACTTCCATGTATCGCCGCCCTTTCAGTGTTTACGCTTTGCGACCAAGTCGCGGTGACAAACCTAGCAGAGAAAGGAGAGCACAGAATAGCAAAGGCTCTCAACGCCACGAATTCAGCAGGACGGCAAACCGAACCTGGGAGTTGTGCATGTACGCCACGGCTCGGAGCAAGTCTCGCATCACGAAAGCGGCCCTGGGCATCGCGGCATCGCTGCTACACATACGAGAAGCGGCGTCACCAAAGAAGAAGCGAGTTCCACTGCAGTAACTCGCGCGCGCGCAAGACAAGTCCAAGTTGCTGCTTCTCACTCAGGCTGGCAACCCGCTCGACATACTGCGTTAAGTGAGGTCCTGCAAAGCACAATCTGAACTCAAATGCCGCCTATGCCTCTGGCATCTCAAAGGCATAATCCTTTGCAGAGCTTCATGACCTCGGTGGCTGTGAAACGACGATGGACCTAGTGCTTCGTGTCCAGGCTTCTAGTGACGGAAAGGCAACATGCTGCCGGTAAGTCAGGCAGACCTACTTGCATGCCAGGCTGCCAGGATGATGTTCTCGCTGTTTTCAAAAATTTCCTTAGGACCGCAAAGCACGCAAAACAATCACTCAACACACAGGAAACTGCTGATCTTTCCCTCGGCCCGGGCCGCAGCAGTCAAAGGTGACCCCCCGTTTCCTCTGCTCGGATGTTCCTTCCAGTGGAATCAGTGCCAGGCCCCAAGCGGGATTCTGAAATTTCACATCCTCTATAGTGTCCAGTCGGCCCTCCCTGCCGCCCCGCCCCCCCACCCCGCGAGCTCCCCTGTGCATTCCCCGGCATCTCCTTCGGTCCCCTTGTCTGTGCCTCTGCAACCGACTTCCGAAGCTGCTGATCAACAGCGGCCGGCCCCAGCTGGACGACGCAAAGCGGCGAAGCGTTTATAGATCGGGCGGCAGCTTATTGCGAAATAGCAATTTCAAGAAAATATACGGCAGCAGTGAGAAAGCCAAGCTGCACAGATGGTGATCAGGTTTGGATGGTCCAGCACTTTCATGATTTCCTCAAAGACAAGACCACTGGCATGGCAAAGCCGGGGCAGCACGAAGTACTGCAGTTCACTCGAGTTGGTGACGCTAAAAGACGCCTAAGACCGCTGCCATCTCTGCACGAAGTGCTGTCAGAAAGGAACGCTGCGCCTGTTGTGCTTGCATCGGCAGCGCCCGAAGCAGAGAATCGAAGCAGGACGGCATGCAGTCCACTGCTGTCCTTCTTTTCCACGGTCTTGACCTGTCAGCTGGCATTCTGTGAACTTCACCGAGTCGGATAAAGCTGCCATCTCAGCACTCCACGGCGCGCTCTGCACCATTGGAAGTGATTACCGCAGCACCTTGCGTTCGAAGGCTGTGCAACTAGACGCCGAGAGAAGCAAGGCATAGCAAGGCCATGAACGGGTCTGTTGTGCCACCAAATGCTGCCCAGCGTCTAACAGTCCCGAACTGTCCAGCTCCAACCTTCTCCTGGACAAGGCACCAAGTCGCAGCTTGGCAGTCGCAACTCCGTTTGCAGGTCCTTGACGGTATAGAAGGCCTTGCACGGCAGACATGTTGTCCGAGATTCAATCACGGCTTAGGGCTTAGGACCTACTGTGAGCCTCGAAATCACCAGGATTCTCGATGACAGCACAAAGTGCATTCGTCAGCACGTTCGCGCTGCTCTGCAGAAAAAAATCTCGCCTGACAAATTGGACAAAATGAGATCGTGCAAGCGGCAAATGGCATGGGGCACCTGTTCCATGTAGACTCCTTAGAAGTCGTGGACTTTGGCTCATCATCTTCTTCTTTCGCAACCGCGTTGTCGCTGTTCCTCTTGTCATCCTCATCTGCACAGGCCTTACGGACCAACACAAGCGAGGCAGTCAGTACTGCTGGCGGCACCGGCACCTCTGCACCAATGTCGTTCAGGATAGGCTGGGCGTTCGCGAAGCGGATCTCACGTATCGCCTGCCAGGCTGTCACATGCAAGGGACTGTGGAGCCCAGAGCAAAGAGTTTGCAGCCATGCCTCGTCGTTATCCTGTTTGACCGCGTCGGCATTCTCTTTCAGGTCCTCGCGATGTTCATTCTACTTGCCTCAGAGCCTAGCTGAATCTCTTCAGCCGCTGTGCCTTCTGCTTCAGCTCCAGCTCTTCAGCTGCGCAGCTGCAATTCACACCCATCAACAAGCCTCGCAAGCAAAGGCGGGAAAAGAACTCCGCCTGAGCAATTCAACTTTTCCATGGCGAGCCTGCAAGCGAGGCCTATAGCTTCTCGGCATCCAGACATGAAGAGACTCGCGGCTTAGCATCACTTTGCATGCAGTGGTGGGTTAAACTAGCTCTGTGACCCAAATCCAATGCTGTCCATCCCGTCGCTTTAACTTATATATTGCCCCTTAAAGGCAGCAGAGCAGTGTCTTGCCAGGCCTATCAACCTTGAGGCCAGTGAGCCAGAATGCACCATGCCAAATACCTCCTTCGTACGCTGAGCGGCGTTCTTCCCTTGCCCGAGTCGAGATGCTCGGCTGGAAAGCAGTCTAACCAGCTGCTCCAGGAGTCGGGCAACTGTGCAGTCATAGCCTGTGCAGATGGTTTCGGCGGTTTGCTCATGCCGGGACGCACCGTCAAGGAACTCTGCGGCTGGGTACCTCTGCTGTAGCTACGCAAAGAAACTACGAGTACCTGCTTCGAGTGAGCAGCTAAACACTTTCGCCGGCGACTACTGTTCCTGCCCGTCTCAGCAGTGGCCCGGCAGTGCAATCACGCGTGTTCCATCAATGCTGGTTTGCCCCCTTCTCAACCTCCGGCCTGGTTGATGTGCATCCACATACAAGGCCTTGGGAAGGTCAGGACGGCAGAATAACGACCGAGACATCGAAGAGTTCTCAGATGCCGAAGTCTGACTTGCTGGCCTTAGCAGGATCAGCGCAGATGTCGAATCGAGGGTCGGTGTACTTTGTGCCCTCTTTGTTGCCTGAAGGGTCTGATATAGAAAACTCCACAGAGTCAGTTTAGACTGTGTTGCATAAGTTGCATAAGGCAATGGCATTTCTCCACAATGGCTTGGACGCTCCACACGCAATTCTCTCGATTGCCCTGGCAGCGGCGAGCCACTTTCGCAAAACGGTTGCGAGTCTTTAGTCTCTTTCTCGCCTGTCGTCCGGCATGGCTGGGCAGCAGGGACGGCTGAATATTGGCTTCCTTGACCTGCTAAGATGCCGAGACACAAGCGCCGGACCACGACATGGTAGCTGTCGGTCTGTCCGTCCTGTCGCCTTCGACCTGAAAACCTGCTGAATGCCCTGTGTACGTGCCTTTGCGACAAGGTCGTCTGGTCGCGAACGAAGCCGCTCGATTGCCTTCCTGCCTGCCTGTGATAGAACGACCTCGGCACCACCGATTCACGGCTCATGAGCTGCCACGTCAATACATCCCAATCACATACTTGAAAGGACCGCACAGTTGCCTAAGTGCCCGACTGTTCCATCATCAACCTGACCAATGTCTAGCACTGCAGAAGGCATGGTAGCAATAATGTATCTTTGCTTCGGACCACTTCCCAGCAGCTTTCTGCGGGCTTTCGCTTCTGAGAGATGCCCCAAAGCACCTCTGACTGCACAAGCCAACGCTGTCGCTTTCAACCTGAAGAACCTCTACAGCGAACCTGCGAAACGGCAACAGCCAGTGCGTTGTCTGTGGCATGGTCAAGATAGCCTCGGGAACTGAACCCCCGGAGCCAGCACCGGCAGATGCACATGGCCCTTGACCTGAGCAGTCCTAGATCCCGGCTTTCACCGTTCGCCTCAAGGCATGGCAGCTCGTGCTCAACCATGCTGTCAGCTTCGGAACTTGTCTGCAGCTGCGCTAGTACCGCAAGCCATTTCTGCACAAGCCAGCTTCTGAGTGGACTTTGCCACGGCCAGCCTATGCTCTTTCCGCTCAAAGTGGCCGGAAGGACTTGGACTGTGAAGTAGACGAAGTGACCTCGTCGACGCAGGTCCAGTCACTCGCGGCGAAGTGTCCGCACTGCACCCTTAAACGGGAGGAAGCTTGCAATCGAAACTTATTATCCCAGCGCTGATGCCCACGACAATGCTGAGTCAAGCAACTCACATCATTGCGCATTTGTCGCCGCCCTCCAGTTTCTTTTTTCGAGCCTTAGTAGCTGCAGGCTTCTTGACAGCAGTACCACTACTCCAATGTGATTTTAATGTGATGCAACCAACAAGCTTCAATCTGCGTGGTCAGTGCGCTGGTGGTCCAGCGAGACGTCCTTGGCATGTCTGCAGACATGCCACTTGCATGGTGTGTCGAGTCGTTCTGCCCGAAATATGCGCGAACAGGAACGCTTGAGGTTTGGCACTGCAACAGCTCCTTGATATTTGTATCTTGCCTAGCATCTCCTCGATGCACTCTTCCAGAAGCTCCGCAAACAACTCCTTGACATGTGCACACTGTCTGACACGTGTGACAAGGTTGGTAAAGCAGGTCGTCCCAACGGCAATGTGCACTGAAAGCGATACGCTGCAAGAAGGATTTGTGTTCTCGGATAGACGTATGAGGTCGCACTAGAGGTCAAGCGTCCCGTACACCGGTGTAATCTGTAACGGATATCTGTCTCATCAGCTTCTCCGACTCAAGCCTCAGAATGAGCACATGCTTACATCATTCCACAGGGCCTATCAGATCAAACAAGTGTGTAATCAAGGAAGTAAGGGTGTTCTATGCAAGTCGCCCCAGCTCGTAGCAGAGCTCCGTCCTTGTCTCAACACTCTCGTCAGCTAAGCTAGCGGTAAAACCGAGTACCACACGAAACCAAGACAGAGCTGCTTCCAAGTTCAGAAAGGGGTCGCTGCAGCGAGGTTGGCCTGCAGCAAGAGGGCTGGCTCAAGCAAGGGATTGCCACTGGAATTATGCAGCTAAGCCAAGATAACCGAAGGCAGCGAAGGTCCTTGATGTCCTCTGTGTGCTCGTGCATGTCTATCTTGTTGGCAACAAAGCGGATCGGAAGACCTTGTACCACTCGGAAGTTACAGAATCAAGAGGATCGACAATAGCTCAACATGCAAGCGGCTTTTGTCGAGTTTTTCGGCCTCCTCGGCGATGAGAGGATGGGCCTCGGCATGATTGAAGGATGCTGCGGTCTTCGCTCCTCGGAGAACATCTTTTGCCGCTCCGCCTGCTTTCAGACATCCCGGCCCCAGCCGACGGGACACAACACCTCATAAGGCCCCAAACCCTTTTGTGCATCAGGCTTTGTTCAATCGCCTCAATGTTTGAGCAACACGGAGGCTCAGCTCTCATGACTGATCTCCCATGTCCTGCTCAAACCCTAAAACCTTGCACCTGGGCTCTTAGTGTCAGCCAACGAGTACAGCAACATGAAACCCTCATGTCGCAGGCACGCCTCTGCAGCTGCACAGTGTTGACGAGACAGATGATGGCGCTCAACATGCTGGACGCAAGCATAGAGAACGATGAAAAAACACCCTCCAAGTATCGGGCCGACAAATATGTCTTCACTGCTTCAAAAGAAGAGGCGGAGGTCGCGTCGAAGAGGACGATAAAACCTGTGCATCCCCAGAAGCACGGAGGCTGAGAAGGTTCTATGGTCAAAGCCGTGTGGCCCATGCGACTTTTGGCGAGCAGAGGGGGCTCTGCAGACTCAACCTGACACAGGGGAGTAAGCTCTCATTGCTCAGACTACTCCTTACCTTCCACTCGCCCTCTAGGGCAATACCCCAGAACCGATTGACAGTCCGCTGCCTCAAAGTTGTGCATTGGGTGCCTTGCCCGCGGTTGACAGCCAAGTCTTGACAGGCAAAACACACACACACTTGACACATCGTGTCGCAGGTCTGATCTGTCGGTGCATACTGTCAGGGAAAGTCAGCAGCTGTCAGGGAAAGTCAGAAGCTGCAAGGGAAAGTCAGAACATGCAATCAGAAGCTCGTACGAATCTTGCTCTAGGGTTACTGATTTGCAGGTACGTTTGCACCCCTCCCTGGGGGTGTCTTCGTTGGCCGGTGACCCCCAGGGAGAGCACCGGCCCCCTGCTGCCTAACTCACTCACGTCTCTTGGAAACAGAGTTGGACACACACAAGCCCCGAAGGGCTCCGTGGAGTGTTGATGGTCGTTGCGCGCTGTTCTTCTCACCGATTTTTTCATCAAAACGTCTTGTCCTTGGGAGATTCGCTTACAACGATAGCGTTCCTCAGCGACATGAACATAGCACACTTGAAGAACGCGCCTGCAACGCAGTAAGGCAGGGAGATGCGCACTCCGACAGCATGTAGGCATGCACTCACTCACCGATTTTTATGCTGTGAACCAATAGCATGAAGTTGCCACAGCTCACTTGACAAATCATTCTCAGTCAGCGCACATTCCACTGAACATGTCACAGGCTCATTCACCGCACGTGTCACTGGAACATAGCTGAATGTCAAAAACTTTGCATGATGTACATGCCACTGGAACATGTCGCCACCGGAACAGTTGAGTGTCACAGACTCATTCACTGCACATGCCACTGGAACATGTCGCACATGCCCTGGAACATGTCACAGACTCATTCACGGCACATGCTCTTCAGAAACACTCTCTAAAATACTGAAGCCAGACAACAGGCCCTCGCCCCTGCTCGTTCGATTCAGATTTGCATACCCGTTGAAACAGGGTTGGACACACACAAGCCCTGCCGGGCACATTGTAGCCGCTCGAAACACCGGTTGACATACAAATGCCAGCGTCTGAAAGCGGAAAATCTACGAAACCGCAGAGTCTACGCATGCCAACATAGGCGAACCACATTCATGTCAGAGAGTCTATGCATTCCAGTACAAGCAACCCGCACTCATGTCACAAAACTGCGGAGTCTACGCATTCCAACATAGGCGAACCGCACTCATGTCACGAAACTGAAGTCTACGCATTCCAACATAGGCAAACCGCACTCATGTCACGCGTCAGTTAGATGCACATGCAACTGGCACATAGCAGACTCATTCATGGCACATGCCACTGGAACATAGCTGAACGTCACACACTGCGCATGACGCACATGCCACTGGAACCTAGCTGAATATCACAAACTGTGCATGACGCACATGCCACTGGAACATGTCGCAGACTCCTTCACCGGACGTGCCACTGGAACATAGCTGGATGTCACAGACTGTGCATGACGGTAGCACTCACTTGACACAATGTGTCACAGGTCTCAAGTCAGCTCGAGAAGCCAGCTTGATAAGTCAGCTCAGAGATTTCAAGTTCTAGGTTACGGAACTCCAGGCGCATCGCAAGACAGATGACTGAAAGCATACAAACCGTCACTCTAGGTTACGGGTCTCCAGGCTCATTGCAAGACAGATGACTGAAAGCGCGCAAGCTGTCACTCTAGGTTACAGGTCTCCAGGCCCATTGCAAGACAGATGACTGAAAGCGCTTGCAAGATCACCTCTGAAGTCATGCAGATTGGGGCAACCATGCAAAAACAAGGAGCATTTAGTTTGTCACCTGAACCTGAGAAAAACCTGGTTTTGTCCACACAACACAAACTAGGGGCACGCCAGCTGTGTACGCAGACACCCAGGTCGCTGGACACACACAAGCCCTATCGGGCTCACTAATTCTCACAACAGGCACTCGGACTTCATCTCAGACACTTGCTAAGCAAAGCTGAACAGGTGCAAGCGCTCATGTGTTGCTGTTGAAGCATTGCAGGCAATCAGTAATACTGACGACACTGCAGAGTCTATGCATTCCAACACAGGCGAACCACACTCATGCCAGAGAATCTACGCATTCCAACATAGGCAAACCGCACTAAAGTCACGAAACCGAAAGGTCTACGCATTCCAACCTAGGCGAACCGCACTCATGTCACGAAACTGAAGTTTACGCATTCCAACATGGGCGAACCGCACTCGTGTCACGACACTGACTGCGTTCCAACATAGGCGAACCGCACTAAAGTCACAAAACCGAAAGGTCTACGCATTCCAACATAGGCGAACCGCACTCATGTCACAAAGCTGCAGAGTCAGAGTCTATGGATTGTTGTCGTCGTTGTCATCAAATGATTTGATTAGACGACTGCGAACAAGAAGAGTTACAGAGACAGGCTCGAAGAAATGACGGAGAAAGTGCATGACAATATGCACTCACTTACCCAGATCGCCACCAGACCACCAGAAACCAAAGCGTATTCCGCGGACGTCCCTTGCACATCACTTGCATATCCCCTGCACATCACTTGCACGTCCCTTGCTGCACGTCGATCATGTTCTTGGTCCGACACTGCAAAGTCTGACGAGAAGTCGGACGAGTGCACGTCCGATACAGAGACAGCATCGCTCTCAAAGCTGGACACCGACATAATTTGAAGCTACCTGTACGTTACAAGTCTTTTTAGACCTGGAGAGTGCCTTGAGGACATGAATCAAAACAGTGTCTGCAAACATTCACAACACATGCTGCCAGCAGATCACTTGCATAACCCTTGCACATCCCTTGCACATCACTTGCGCGTTCCTTGCACATCCCTTGCAATACACTTGCAGCAGCACTGGCAAACAGACTCTTCTTTGCAACTGCAGAAAGTCTACGAAACTGCAGAGTCTATGCGTTCCAACATAGGCGAACCACACTCATGTCAGAGAGTCTACGCATTCCAACATAAGCAAACCGCACTCATGTCACAAGTCTGCAGAGTCTACGCATTCCAACATCGGCGAACCGCACTCACGTCACGAAACTGCAGACTCTACGCATTCCAACATCGGCGAACCGCACTCATGTCACGAAACTGCAGAATCTACGCATTCCAACATAGGCGAACCACACTCATGTCAGAGAGTCTACGCCCTACGCATTCCAACATAGGCAAACCACACTCATGTCACCAGTCTGCAGAGACTGAGCGTTCCAACATCGGCGAACCGCACTCATGTCACGAAACTGCAGAGTCTACGCATTCCAACATCGGCAAACCGCACTCATATGTCACGAAACTGCAGAGTCTACGCATTCCAACATAGGCGAACCGCACTGATGACACAAAACTGAAGTCTACGCATTCCAACATTGGCGAGCCGCACTCATGTCACGAAACTGCAGAGTCTGAGACGCTTGTAGCGCCAATATACAGCATCGTGCTGGGCTTTCTTATTGTTCAAAACCGAGGATGCAAAGCAATTGGGCATCCACCATCACTCTACAGAAAGTCCATGCACAGGAGACTGCAATCAATGACCTCGTCTGCCATTACAAAACGAGTATGCGCTCACACTTGCTGCACGGCAAACCTACACTGCTAGACTCTCCGTTATGTCATTCAATCGGATAGGGCTGCATGGCAGGAATACTCTCAGCAATCATTTCCAGCAGCGTCTCAAAGCAGATAGTCTACGAAACTGCGGAGTCTATGCGCTCCACCATAGGCGAACCACACTCATGTCAGAGAGTCTACGCATTCCAACATAAGCAAACCACACTCATGTCGCAAATCTGCAGAGTCTACGCATTCCAACATCGGCGAACCGCACTCATGTCACGAAACTGCAGAATCTACGCATTCCAACATCGGAGAACTGCACTCATGTCACGAAACTGCAGAGTCTACGCATTCCAACATCGGCGAACCGCACTCATGTGTCACGAAACTGCAGAGTCTACGCGTTCCAACATAGGCGAACTGCACCGATGACACGAAACTGAAGTCTACGCATTCCAACATAGGCGAGCCGCACTCCTGTCACGAAACTGCAGAGTCTACGCATTCCAACATATGCAAACCGCACTCATGTCACGAAACTGCAGAGTTTACGCATTGCAACATATGCAAACCGCACTCATGTCGCGAAACTGCAGTGTACGAGTCGCACAAGCAAGCAAAACCATGTACTGAACCAATCACTCCAGCTTGGTCGGACACTGCAAAATCTGACGAAAAGTCGGACGAGTGCCCCCTGCTCATTCGACTCAGATTTACCTACCCTTCGAAACAGGGGTGGACACACACAAGCCCTCCCGGGCTCATTGCTCTTTCGAACTTACTGACAGGAAGCACTCACGTACATAGCACATGCATGACGATGCAATCACTTGCACAGCACTTGCATGACAATGCGCACTCACTTGTCCAGATCGCCACCAGACCACCAGAAACCAAAGCTCCACGACCAGCAGCTCCAATGCTCCACCGGGCTACCAGAAACCACAGCTCGTTCCACCAGCTTCGCTTCTGTTCAAAGAAAACGCTACAAGCAAGCGATGCAGTAAGGCAGAGAGATGCGCACTCCGAAAGCATGTAGGCATGCACTCACTCACCAAGGAAGAAAAACGTTTTCAAGCTTGCACTAGCACGACACTTGCGATGCAGTAAAGCAGCGAGATGCGCACTCCGAACGCATGTAGGCATGCACGCATTGACCACAGAAGAAAAACGTTTGCCAAACTTACACTTGCACAATACTTGCACGACGACACGCACTCACTTGCACTGCTCTTGCCGATCGCAGAGTCACTGACCAAGGTAACACCTGGTGCCAAAGCTGAACGAAGTCTCAAACTGCAGCACTTGCAAACTGATCAGCAACTACCAAAAGTACAGCTCATGTACTCAACTTGCAGCCGAAGACCTGCGACAAGTCAGCGGTGAAGTCAGATTCGGGAAAGTCAATCAGATCATAGAAAGTCAGTGGGAAAGTCAGCATTCAGGTTTCGGCAAAGGCATTTGGGAAAGACTCACTGAGAAAGTCAGCTTGCAAGCACGGATATAGAATCAGGGAAAGTCATCCAATGCTTATACAGTCAATCGGGAAAGTCAGCGCCAGAGCTACCTCTGGGAGACACGGCGCCCATAGGGAATGCCGTTGTGAAGCACACTTGACACATCGTGTCGCAGGTCTGATCTGTCGGTGCATACTGTCAGGGAAAGTCAGCAGCTGTCAGGGAAAGTCAGAAGCTGCAAGGGAAAGTCAGAACATGCAATCAGAAGCTCGTACGAATCTTGCTCTAGGGTTACTGATTTGCAGGTACGTTTGCACCCCTCCCTGGGGGTGTCTTCGTTGGCCGGTGACCCCCAGGGAGAGCACCGGCCCCCTGCTGCCTAACTCACTCACGTCTCTTGGAAACAGAGTTGGACACACACGCACACACATATTGTGCCATGAGGATGTGACCTCAAGAAACAGCTGAGACACTTGTAGGACTCCATCATTCCTTCCGAGGCCCCAGTGGCTTTGCAGAACCTTGCAGCACGTGGTGCAAGATGGGTGGCAGACATTGGCATGCACTTCTGATACTTCAAGTCCTTCCTACTCTTCTACTCTTACTCCAAGAGAATCCAGGCGAGACTTCCTACAGTAAGGCAACTGTAGGGTGGCCACTTCTTGTACGGCTCCACTGGAAGGTTGCCGGCGTCGTCCTTCCAACAGCTGGGGGAGATTTAACGACTTGAGCCCTGCTTTGGCGAAAGCTATTCAAGGTTGGCGACACGCCTGAAGCACGCAGTCCGTCACTTCTATCAGAGCTGTGAAGTCGTCACCTGCGTGGCAGAGTGCCCCATGCTGAGGCATCGAACACCCTTGTGCATGGCCTTCGTGGAGCGGGTTCGGGAGCAGAATAGATCTGTAATACGAGGTCCTTTTTTTGTCCATGCGATTTCTAAACAGGCACAACTCACACTGCAGCAGCATGTCTGCGTGGGTTCAGAAAGGCTTCGTCTTCTTGGTTGGATTGGCCACCTTGGAGAACCGCTTGATCTCTGCTTACTCATGCCATGCGGCCAGGACCAATAAGGCTGCCAAGTTTCCGATGGAACGTGGTTGTTTACCCACGAGTTGACTAAGCCTCAGCTCAGCTCCGACACTGAAACCCGAAGCAGGACTTCCCCGACGCTCCAGACGCCACGTGCGCCACCGCACGTGACACATTCATCCAGACATGCCTCTAGCCATGCAGCGGTACAGAATGGAGCTGACTTAGGCCCACGACTGGTCTTACCACTGCCCGGCGGGCCGAGGACAGCTATGTGCAGAATGGGTATCACACTTTCGCAGACGTCGCCCATGGCACCAGAAGGCTGTAGCAAGTGTTCGTATCCTGTCACTAGCTCACGGCCATCAGCGTCAACGCTTGAAGCTTACTCCGGAAGGCATAGCGCGAATGATCATAAATGTGTTCAGGCTTCAGCTTGTTGTGGGAAGCCATTTTCCACAGACTTTGAGCCTAGTTGCGATGGCGTTGCGGCATTGGGGGTGCCAAAGCTCGCAGGAAACATTCTGGTGAACGAGGCTCCCGCGAGCTTCTGCCGACCCATCTCCAGCATGTCTTGCACATGTTCTAGGGAATCATGGTCCTGCACCATGCTGCGATCACAGCATGTGCCGTGAAGACTGCAGAGTGACAAACCTCACCTTCCAATACAAGACATCTTCACAAGCACCCGCCGAACGACATCTAGGAATTCAGGATCGGTGTCCGATTGCTTGATGCCGTGCTCGTCCAAGAAGGCAGCGAGAGGCACCCTTTCACCTAATCGGTGTTGCTATCGGAGTGCTCCAGTGAATCTTGCCTCTATCATTTTCTGCTTCTGGCGGCATCATGAGGAAGCTGAGGCATGTCGGATCCATGGCTTCGCTAGACCATGGGGAGTGCACCGTTCTGGAGAGTAGCAGTATCGTGCACATGCCTCCGCCCGACACTTTTCTAATTCTCATCGTATCATAAATCATAACTATCAACCCCAGCAATCTGTCCAAAGCAGAGTGAATCATGTTGGTCAGCGCCAACAGTCGCGTGACCGTTGAACGTGCAACCTGCTGATGAAAGGCGCGCAAACGGCACTCGTGCTCCTTTGCTTTTCCCACATTCTGTCCCAAATGTCTTGTGCGTAGCACCGCCGAACAACCTTGAGAATTCTTCAGATTATTCCCGATTGCGTGGCGACGTGTTTTCCGTGGCTGGCATGATGTCATGATGTTGATGTGACATTTCGTGAGGTTGTTTTCCAGGTTATCGTGAGGCTGCGTGGCATGATGAAGTTTCGGAGCCGTTGTCCCTCAGGCTGTCGTGAGTTATCTAATGGACGGGTCTGTAGAAGTGAACGGGTTTACGAAAGTGATGGATGGATGGATGGATGGATGGATGGATGCAATGAGTGCACGGACGACTGGATGGACTTATCGGATGGACGAATGGATACATGGCTGGCTGAATACATGCGTGTAGCTTTGCTGTGCAGCCTGAAGCTGAAAGTAGCACCCGATCAACAGGATCAGGACCCACCCACTCGTCCATTACATAGCTTCGTTTCACATCTCACATAAAACAAGTGCAGGTTGGGAATGCACCTTTAGCCTTAGCGTCGCATCAACAGTTGGCAACAAACGCAGAGTGCTACACATGCAACAAACCTGGAGTGACCCAATGCCTCTGCCGCTTTCGTTGGATTTGCAACTAGCAAGCGTACGATCGAGCCTTCTAGAAGCTTTGCCCAAGCCCAAGGCTCCAAGTTTGGAGTTGGGCAGTCGGCAAAGCGGTTTCCTGTCTCTACAGCCTGCGAAACCGAAACGCTCTACAAAAAAACTGCAAGATGCGTACAATTCCATAAGGCATAGGCCAGACTCGCAAAAAGGTTCAGAGCCCCTCCACTGAGGGACTAGAGAAGCTGAGTTTCAGGCGTGCCTCACCGACTTTGTTGCTTTTCTATTGGTTCGGGAGTGCAGCTCTGACTCGTCAACGTAGACAGCTTCTGTCTCTCTTCCGTTTCAGCTTGAGGGCACTGCTGCTTCTTGCGGCAACGAAGCCCACGTGCTGTTGGCCTCTGCACCAGAGATGGCACCTCTCTCTTTCGTCTAAAAGAGCTCAGATGCTCGCTTCTGGCCGCTTGCAGCTCCGCCTCAGGCTTTTCAAAGCAAAAAGTGAACCAGATCGCTTCATGTGACTCATGTGATAAGAAAATGCGGTGGACGTGACGCGGATCTCAATCAGACACAAAAGCAGTAATAATTATGCTTAGAGAATGTGCTGTGGCAGCATCTGCCATCACATCGTGCTTCCGGCGAATTCGGTGCCTAGAAGGCATGCTTAGGAGTGCGAAGCCAGCCGTCAAGATACTCAAGATATGCAGATGCAAACATATGCAGTTTCCGAGCGCACACCAAACATGCAGCATACGCAGAGTAGTGTCCTCTGACCCTGACTCTTCGAAACCTCTGTAGGTTGAATCCTCGAGCCCCGCATTCGTACAAAGACCCGTTCTAGTGCAGGCATGGCAGGTAGCCGATGTGAAGAGTGCTTGCAAGCCCCAATAGCACTCGCTAGTTGTTGTCATTCCACAAGCCGCCAAGGTGCGAGTGTTGGCCGCTTCTTGCCACAATTGTGACAGTACTTCGCATCCGGATAAAACCTGTCACGATGAAGCCAGCTTATATACACATGAACTTTCCGTGGCCAAGTTGCTCACGAAGCGAAACCGGGGCAGCAACTTGGCGCCACAAGCCTTGCAAACCTCCTGGCGAGAGATGTCAACTTTCGCTGTCAACGCTTCCAGGCCGTGCCCACCCGATTCCATCATCAGCAGATCGGATCGCTGTCAACGATGCTAGGCTGCACGCTGCGCAAAAGCCGCAGCACTACTTCATCGCAAGCAATCTGCTGGTGGCACATTATTCTTCTTCATCTCCCAGTGGTCGAAGCTGCTCTCTGCCTGCGAGAACCACAAACACCACGAGTGACCCTTTATTCCCCATACACATAATCACGGCAGTCTACATGGGAATTTTGCGTGCTTCAAATCCGGCCTCCTCAAGGTCCAGTTCCAGCAGGCGGCTGAGCATCATCCACTCCTCTCTGAATCATTTCTATGTGAAGATTCGGATTCTGCCACAGCTTAAACAAAGAACTTATTGCTTGCGCAAGCTGTGTTTTGCCCAAACGGGACAAGGCATGCAGTGTGTCCTGCAGAGACAGCTCCGTTGTGACTGGCTCAAGGCCTGCCAATCCTCTGGTGTTCTTCGCCTCCCAGCACGTGCCAGCATCCGACAATATTATGCTCCTGCAGTGACCGCTTTGCCCGACATGGCCAGGCAAGTGGCGAACGCTTGCATATTTCTCGCAATATTTCAAACTCGTGAAGCCCGCAGTATCTCTCCGCGAGGTGAGACTGCACCTAAGGACCGTCACGTGGCAAACACAGTAGCCTTGGCTGGCAACAGTGCTCAGAGTGCACTGCCATTGCTGGCCTATGCACTCACGATGGGCTCGCGGCTTGCGCACCGGGGTTGAAGGTTGGCATGGTGCACAGAAGGCAGAAAAGACTCTAAGCGGTTTGCCTCCATGACTTTCCATCTATGTCGTTTTGGACATAGCTCTGATTGGACTTTTTGACACTATGTACAACATGGAAGAAACGGCCCCAGAGCCTGCAAGCACAGCGTCTTCCACACGACCCGGACGATGCATACTGGCCACGAGCTGTGTGCCGAATTGTTTATCTCCTCAGCCGCTTAGCTCCCGCCAGCGCCAGAACCAGCGCTGGAAGCGCCAGCAGAAGCAAGCCTGACCACTGCTAGCACGCAAAAGACTGCATGAGACTTCACCCATCCTCATCATGAACTCAAGGCACGTGAACCAGGCGAGCCATTACAACGCCGCTCCCCCCTCGGCAGCCTAGCGAGCTCCTCCAATTCCACACATCTTGCCTCGGTCCACCTTGACTGCAATGAGACACTTGGGATAGTCAGTCGACACGGGAGAGAGAGCCGGGCCTAAAGTGTAAGACTGTTGAGAGGCCTCTTCCTTCGACTCCTGCCAAAAAGAGCACAAAAAGCATCATTTTATCTTCGTGCAAAAGACCGGGAAGGTGCTCCTCAGATCCATCTCGCAGCTCTCCGGTCTTCGGTCGCCGCTGCAGCGTCCCAGTCCCCGCTGCCTTGCCTCAGAATCGCACGCGATTGTAATCAAAACAGGAGCTTTCAGATTTCAGGAAGACGGCTTCAGGTACTGTAGTTCAGGACAAGCCATGACGATAGAGATCACTGGGCGAGCAGCGTTGGCGTTGCAGCCAGGTGCCATCCTGCGGACAAGAGCCGGTGGTGCGAGTCGTCCATCCGTGGACAGTGACTCTCACATGGCTCCTCCTGCGCCTGTCCAAAAGCTTCTATGTCCGTGTTCGGACCAGCTTTGATCACCTGAATCATCATCAGGAGCTGTGCATCTCGGCATGTGGCTGATGCCACTGTTGCATGCCAGCAATGTCCAGTCTGCACAACCTTGCTACACTCTTGCTACCGTGCCCAACTGGCCATTTTCTCCGCATAGTTCAGCCCTCCTCTGCACATGCCGCCGAGCACTTGTGCCCTGCGAACTCGTTATCTTTGGCAGCTCTCTACGAGTGGCTCCGCAACCGTGCTTGGCATCAACGCTGTTGCAAGACTGAAGGCGCCAATCGAGATTGATTCTCAGCCGCCTAGAAGCAACTTCAAGTTGAACTGGCAACAATCAGCTTGGAGTGGCCGCAAGACCAACTCCTATTCATCCTCGTCGGAATCTGACTCATATCCCCCAAGGCCTCGAAAGGCGACAGCAGCAGAAAGTAGCAATCTGGGCAGACGGACACAGGCCTCCGATTCCGGCCGGCGCTTCGCTGGGCTTGGCCTGGAGGAATGATTCAGGTGGGCACAGGCATATAGGGCCAAAGCCCGTAAAGCGTCTCCCGCCTCGGGCGCTTCAGGCGCATCTTCGGCCTTGTCGTTCTTGGCCCGCTTGGCTTCCGGCTCTGGCCTGTGCTCTGCTTAAATTCTTCAGAAAACTAGAAGACAATTGGCCCGAAAGCATCATCAGCGAAGATTGTGGGGCTATGTGATAGAGCCAGTGTATAGGATCGTAAAGTCACAGAGTCAAGAGTCATAGAGTCCATGAGTCATGAGTCATAAAGTCATAGAGTTGCAGTGAGATAGCGTCATAGAGTCATAGTGAGATAGAGTCACGGAGTCATGGAGTCATCTATGTACCATGCACTTGACTCGATGTAGTTCACTCTATGCTCTATGTGTGGGAACGCTTAATCGAGATCCCCATAGCGTGAGGGCTCATAGCCTGACCTGGACCTCGAGAGGCACATACAGTCAAGAGTCATAGAGTCCATGAGTCATGAGTCATAAAGTCATAGAGTTACAGTGAGATAGCGTCATAGAGTCATAGTGAGATAAAGTCACAGAGTCATGGAGTCATCTATGTACCATGCACTTGACTCGATGTAGTTCACTCTATGCTCTATGTGTGGGAACGCTTAATCGAAATCCCCGTAGCGTGGGGGCTCATAGCCTGACTAGTAGTAGTAGTAGCAGTAGTAGTAGTAGTAGTAGTAGTAGGAGTAGTAGTAGTAGTAGAAGTAGTAGTAGTAGTAGTAGTAGTAGTAGTAGTAGTAGTAGTAGTAGTAGTAGTAGTAGTAGTACTAGTAGTAGTAGTAGTAGGCGGCCACGTTGCTTGCTCGTTCTTTCGCAAGACAGCGTCGAAGCAAGCAAGCAACGGTGCAACCTAGCCAGAGCGAAGAATTCACAGCCCGCACGGCTCAGCGTGGAGTCAAGGGCCGCGCGGCCTGAGGAGGTGCCGGGAGAGGTCATCCCAGGGATTACGGTAATCCGGAGCCTCGTGAAAACGGCTGATTGTAGTTGCAAAGGTTCATCGGGAGCCCCGAGCCTCCATAGCACGCATTATACCAACCCAGGGTATAGTATCATGGAAGAAGAAACATAGCGGCAGCTGACCAACATCCCCAAACGGAAGTCGCAACACTTGTCTCTGAAACGAGTAGGGAATTGGGGTTTCGCTCTGCATCTCAAACCACAACAGGCCAGCGTATGTTTCTTAGTCGATCCAACAGACTCCAGGGGAACGCCACGGGCTTAGGGGTCCTTATTTCGTGTCTATCCACACCGGATAATCCACGAGGGCGTAGTAGGACTAATGCAGGGATCACGGTGGTCCAGAGCCTCCTCTAGAAAGATTGATTCTAGCTGCAGACATTCATCGAGAGCCCCAGGCTTCGGTGACACCCTGTGTATCAACCCAAGGTATACTATCTCAGAAAAGAAACCCGGCGGCATCTGGCAAACATTCCCAAGCGGCAGTCACAACACGAGTCTCTCAAAGGATGATTAGGGATTTAAGATCTATCCTATACCACAAACGGGTCCACCTCGCTGAGCTGCTGCGCGACTCGTGGCACCGAGAGTCCAGCAGCGAAAGGCAGTGCAGCCATTAGGGATTTGGAAAGACACCGTTCCGAAGTGAAACACCCTACTTCACTAGGAAACCCGCCAGATGCCGCAAAGTATTTAACCTGCCAAGCAATCGAGGAGCTCCTGCATCTCCATGAACCTTTGTCTGCTCACAGGATGTCGCGGCCAGGAGGAGAACGAAACAACTTGGAGATGAACCAATGCATTGGGAATCACTACGCTTCCGCCGCACCAATGTACCAATGCGAGCACTTGAGGTTGCCGTTGATGGTTCGCCCATCATAGTTCTCGCTCGGCAGCCTTCTGTTGTCAATCGGCCTGAGACGTCCACGGTACCTGACGACTTCATGGTGCAATCCTGCACATCGGCTGGATCTGTTGACGCATCCATAGTCTTGATGTTCACATCCGCTCGATGTTGCAACGTCAACTGCAACGTGTCCACGCTTGGCTTGCTTCATAAATGCACGCTTCGTGCAATGCGTTGTCTCTTTAGCACACACACACACACACATACAACTGGTCCAGGGGGAGTTCGCAAGATCAAGTGAGACCACAGAAGCCTTCGATTTGACTTGGATCTATGCAGAACAACAGCCCTTACACTGCATCACGAAGCATTTCGGAGTCGGGTTGGGGGTGGAGAGCCAGCGCGGGAGGAACCTGGACCTAGACTGGACTACTCTTCCCAGGCGACCCTCCCCGGCCTTCGTCGTCACGTACCCGGCTTTCCGAGTAACTTCTGAAGCTGCTCACGAAGGTTGCCAGCCTAGAAACAACAAGCAAGCCATTTCCTTCCTATGGCGGCCACGTTGCTTGCTTGCTCTTTCGCAAAACAGCGTCGAAGCAAGCAAGCAACGGCCCGAGCGACCGTCTCGGCCTGGACCAAGTGGGAAACCAGCATCAGAGAGGCGGCCTGGTGAGGTGCTGGGAGAGGTCATACACGGATTACGGCGGTCCGGAGCCTCGTGAAAACGGCTGATTGTAGTTGCAAAGGTTCATCGGGAGCCCCGAGCCTCCATAGCACGCATTATACCAACCCAGGGTATAGTATCATGGAAGAAGAAATATAGCGGCAGCTGACCAACATCCCCAAACGGAAGTCGCAACACTTGTCTCTCAAAGGAGTAGGGAATTAGGGTTTCGCTCTTCATCTCAAACCACAACAGGCCAGCGTATGTTTCTTACCCGACCCAACAGACTCCAGGGGAACGCCACGGGCTTAGGGGTCCTTATTTCGTGTCTATCCACACCGGATAATCCACGAGGGCCTAGTAGGACTAATGCAGGGATCACGGTGGTCCAGAGCCTCCTCTAGAAAGATTGATTCTAGCTGCAGACATTCATCGAGAGCCCCAGGCTTCGGTGACACCCTGTGTATCAACCCAAGGTATACTATCTCAGAAGAAGAAACCCGGCGGCATCTGGCAAACATTCCCAAGCGGCAGTCACAACACGAGTCTCTCAAAGGATGATTAGGGATTTAAGATCTATCCTATACCACAAACGGGTCCACCTCGCTGAGCTGCTGCGCGACTCGTGGCACCGAGAGTCCAGCAGCGAAAGGCAGTGCAGCCATTAGGGATTTGGAAAGACACCGTTCCGAAGTGAAACACCCTACTTCACTAGGAAACCCGCCAGATGCCGCAAAGTATTTAACGTGCCAAGCAATCGAGGAGCTCCTGCGTCTCGACGGTGGCCAATCCCTGTGAAGGGTGCATTGCCACCCCCCTTGTGCCGGCGGCGCTGGCTTCTGGCTGTTGTTGCGCCGTCGTTCCTGTCGTCGTGTTGCTGGTCTGCATACCACCAGAGCAGGTCCAAGCCTGGCCACATTTTGTGGGGGGGGGGAAACGTGGCACCCAGACTCCTCGCGAACGGGACCGAGACAGATGACTGCAGGGCACAAGCCGTCGAGAGGCAGCTGCTCGTCTGGATCTGATGTGCAGTATGCCCGCTCCAGGCGAGCACAACGGACTCGCAGGTTGCTTGCACAGGCCGCAGGCACCGTCCCACCAAGACAAGCCGCGCATTTGGAGTAGTGCTAACTAAGCTC